ATGACGAAGGGCCAACGGTAGAGCTCTATGAAGTCGAGGAATCCCGTGCAACAATCCCATCTCCACTAGAGCTTAAGGAGCTCCCCCGACACCTCAAGTACGTTTTCCTTGATGATGAGAAGAAAAAGCCGGTGATCATCTTTGCCGAGCTAAACCGAGACGAGGAACGAGAGCTTCTTGACGTGCTTAAGAGGAATCAAAAGGCCATCGGGTGGAGTCTCGGAGATATCAAGGGCATTAGTCCGGCCACATGCATGCACCGGATAATCTTAGAAGAAGGGGCCAAGCCGTTCCGCGATAGCCAACGACGACTCAACCCGAACATGATGGAGGTCGTGAAGAAGGAGGTATTGAAGCTCTATTCCGAGGGGCTTATATACCCGGTGGCGGATAGTGAGTGGGTCAGTCCCATTCACGTGGTGCCGAAGAAAGGAGGGATAACCGTGATCGAGAACGAGAAAAAGGAGATGGTCCCCACCCGTATCACTACCGGGTGGCGAATGTGTATAGACTACCGGCGACTCAATGCCGTGACGAAGAAGGACCACTTCCCATTGCCCTTCATTGATCAAATCCTGGACCGTCTCTCAGGCCATCAGTACTATTGCTTCCTTGACGGACTATCGGGCTACTATCAAGTGGCCATCGCCCCGGAGGATCAGCCCAAGACGACTTTCACGTGCCCATTCGGCACCTTTGCTTTCAGACGCATGCCGTTCGGCCTTTGCAACGCACCCGGGACTTTTCAGAGGTGCATGTTCTCCATCTTCTCCGACATGCTCGAGGATTGCTTACAGGTATTTATGGATGACTTCTCTATATTTGGCACTTCATTTTCTAATTGTCTCCATAATTTATCTCGTGTCCTTGAGAGATGTATTGAATGTAATTTGACTTTGAGTTGGGAGAAGAGTCATTTTATGGTACAAAGTGGTGTCGTTTTAGGTCATGTAGTGTCTAGTCGGGGGATTGAAGTTGATAAGGCAAAGATTGATGTGATTGAGAATCTTCCCCCGCCTGTTAATGTGAAAGGAGTTAGGAGTTTTTTGGGTCATGCTGGCTTTTATAGGAGGTTTATAAAAGATTTTTCGAAAATTAGCCAGCCTCTTTGTAAATTGCTTGCTAATGATGTGCCTTTTGTGTTCGATGATGCATGTTTAGATGCTTTTGAAAAATTGAAACATAAGCTTGTGACTGCTCCTATTGTTGTTGCTCCTGATTGGTCGTTGCCATTTGAGATTATGTGTGATGCTTCGAACCTTGCTGTGGGCGCCGTTTTGGGTCAACGAGTTGATAAATTACTTCGTGTGATTTATTATGCTAGTTTGACCCTTAATGGAGCTCAACTTAATTACACGACCACCGAAAAAGAGCTCTTAGCCGTAGTGTTTTCTCTTGAAAAATTTAGATCATACATCTTAGGGTCTAAAGTGATTATTCATTCTGATCATGCTGCTTTGAGATATCTTTTGAGCAAGACTCAATCCAAACCACGGCTCATTCGGTGGATTTTACTTTTGCAAGAGTTCGATGTAGAAATTCGTGATAGGAAAGGGTCGGAAAATGTGGTAGCCGACCATTTGTCTCGTATCATCCCGTCTGATATTTCACCTCATTTGCTTGATAATAATATTGATGATAGTTTTCCGTACGAGCATGTGAGTGAGGTTTCTAGTGTTCCTTGGTATGCGGATATCGTTAATTATTTGTCAGATGGTGTTTTGTTGTCTAACCTCTCTTCCCAAGAGAGGAAACGCTTTGTGTTGATGTGTAGGAGTTACTTTTGGGATGACCCGTTGCTTTTCAAACTGGGAAAAGACGAGATCCTTCGGAGGTGTGTGCCTGAAGAGGAGCAGCTGGATGTCCTTGCCTTTTGCCACAAGTTTCAATGTGGAGGCCATTTTGGAGGCCGAAAGACGGCTCTCAAGGTTCTCCAATCAGGTTTGTTTTGGCCAACTCTCTTTAAGGATGCTCATAATTTTTGCAAGTCTTGTGATCGTTGCCAAAGAATGGGAAACATTGGTCGTAGAAATGAGATGCCCCTTGTGAACAATTTACAAGTCGAAATTTTTGATGTTTGGGGCATTGATTTTATGGGACCGTTTCCCAAATCTTGTGGCTTTGAATATATTTTACTTGCCGTAGATTACGTGTCCAAGTGGGTCGAGGCTATCCCTACAAGGACATGTGATGCTAATGTGGTTGTCAAGTTTTTGCAAGGATATATATTGAGCAGGTTCGGATTTCCACGGGCCATTGTGAGTGACGGGGGCAAGCATTTTTGCAACCGGATATTTGAGAAGCTGATGAAGAAATACGGCATTTCACATAAGGTGGCCACTCCATACCATCCACAGACGTCGGGTCAGGCAGAAACGAGCAACAAGCAGATCAAAACCATTCTGGAAAAGACGGTCAACTCGTCCAGAAAGGACTGGTCCAACCGTCTTGATGATGCACTGTGGGCCCAACGCACAGCTTACAGGGGAGTCTTAGGGATGAGCCCGTTCCGGCTCGTCTACGGAAAGGCGTGCCACCTTCCAGTCGAGATCAAGCACAAGGCATTTTGGACGATAAAACGGATGAATTTTGATCTTGGTGCAGCCGGGAAAGAATGGATGTGGCAACTTTCAGAACTCGAAGAGTTGAGGAACGAAGCCTACAAGAACTCCAAAATTTACAAGGACAAAGTTAAGAAGCTTCACGACTCGACCATTGTCCGGAAGAACCTAGTGCCTGGTATGAAAGTCCTCTTATTTAACTCCCGACTTCGTCTCTTTCCGGGAAAGCTCAAATCACGGTGGAGCGGACCGTATCTTATCGATGAGGTGTTATCACTTGGAGCTGTTCGACTTCGAAATCCAGCAAATGGCGAGTTATTCGTAGTCAATGGGCAAAGGGTCAAGCCTTATTTCGAAGGAGAGTTCGAAAAGAATCATGTCAAGACTATCAGTCTCGACGAGCCACTGTATTCTTGATCCAGACTAGTGTCGAGCTCCCGGCGATAAACCGAGCTTATTCTTGTACTTTTTGTATATATATATTTAAAAAAAAAAAAAAATTGAAGTCGCGGCCGTGGGGCTTTTCTTCGCCGCGGCCGCGGCGATCATTTTGTGCGGGTTAGATGTCAATTTCTGCAGGCAACATCTCACGGCCTCGGAGTATCTCGCGACCGCGGAGTAGAGTCGCGGCCGCGAGGGATTTCTTCACCGCGGCCGCGGCGACCATTTTCTTTGCTCTCGACATCAGTTTCTGTGGGGAAAAGTTCGCGGCCTCGGAGATTTCTCGCGGCCGCGAGAGATTTCATCGCCGCGGCCGCGGCGTTGTGTCAATTCGCGAGACTTCTATTTCTGCGACTAATATCTCGCGGCCGCGGGATGAAGTCGCGGCCGTGGCGCCCGCGACGGATCGTTTTAAACTCTTGTCTGCTAATGGAACGTCATATCTCCCATTTCCACATTTCGAACGGCACAAACGAACCACACCGCATCTCCCCTCCGCTCAACCGACGACCACCGCCGATAAATCGCTCTCCGGCGACGTTCCTCCGGCGGCCAGCGATTTCCGGCGACGCAATAACCCTCGTCTCTTGCAAACCACGCGCGAAATTTCCAACCCCTTCCGAACCCTAGCCACAAGTTCACCACCAATTCCGATAAACCATCGGCTCCGGCGACTTTCCACGGCGACTTCCGGCACGAGCTATTCCGGTTCGCCATTCATCACCTCCGGCATCTCTTTCCGTCTCCAGTCAGAACCCACCTCACTCGAACCCTAGCTCATGACGTAATTGCTCGTGTTCGGCCCGAACTCGCTCCAACAAGGTACCGATAGCTTACTCTTCTTGAAGTCCGTTGTTTGTTGAGGCGTGAGGAGGCCAACTCCGGGATCGAGCCATTTCGACTTGTTTTCAAGTTTTTAGTTCGAAGTTCCGCACGCCAAGTGTTCGACATATTGTCCGAAAGACCGTTCCAATGGGCAAGAATCCGTTTCGTCCCACCAAGAAGAAAACCACTCAAGAACCGCCTTGGAAGCGTCAAGCGGGCGAGTCCTCTCGAGATGCCCCTCCGGAAGAGGACTGGAATGACCTTTCGGACCAATATGGCGCTCCGTTCCCGATTTATTCTCGAAAGGAGGGTGAGATTTATGCCCGTCTCTCGCAAAAGGAGGTCGTGCGCCCGAAGGCGGTGGATTGGGACCTTCTGAACGACTTGGGAATTCTCGAGGACGTGATGAAGTACCTTAAGGTGTTGAACCTAACCGACTACGCCAAAATAGAAGAGAGTTCGCATCGAACTCTAATGCTTGAGTTCTTCAGCTCATTCGTTCTCGCCGATGGGAACGAATACTTCACTTGTCGGCTAAAAGGGAAGGACCACATGGTGGACAATGACGTCATGAAGAAAGTCTGTGGTTTCACGTTCTCCGGTACACGAAGCAAGGCCCTCGACTTCGACGCCAAGAAGAGTTGGGCCGAACTCTCCCCTCATACGACCTGGGATTCTGCCGGCATGTCCAATGGGCTTATCGAGGACCTGGCCACGGCCGTTGTGCATCGATTCATCTGCTACAATGTTACCGGCAAGAAGGAGGCGAACAAAGTCAGTGAGGTCGAACTTTTTCTCCTCTGGGCGATGCGAGCGGGAGTGCGTGTGTGTTCGATGACTTTCCTCCAGAACTCCTTACAGGAGATTGCCCTCACTCGACGCGGACTACCGGCCCTGGGGCACTTCGTTACCGCGCTCGCGAACCATTTCGACATCACCCCAGAAGCCTACCGACTTCATGGTGAGATAGCGCTTCAGGAGCGGTCGGAGATGCGAAGTCTCAACTACAACGAGCTCAAGCAGGCCGACCTTATTCGGAACCGGACTACGGCTAAGGCGTACACAAAGCGCACCGCCTACGACACCTATTTCAAAAAGCTCCAGCAGGGTCAGCCTAATTCCGATCCGGCAGGGTCGTCTCGGCAACCGACGGAGGGAGACGCGCATGAGCAGATGAATATCGACGAGGACCATTTACTTCCACCTCCACCCGACTGGACGCCGGCGCCGAACTCTAACCCGGAGATGCCACCGCAGCAGCCACCGGAATGGTGGTCCACATTTCAGACTCAGTACACCGCCGACATCCGCTCGATCCACGATCGCTTTGACGCCCAGGACGGCAGATGGGCTGCCCTCGAGAGCCGACAGACCACGCAGTGGACCAGCTGGGAGACACAGCAGAACACTCGATGGGACCAGTGGGAGACCCAGCAGCAGACCCACTGGACTCAGATGGGTACGCAGTTCGACACTTTCGCTGGCGGCCTCCAGTCCATCCACGAGCGGCAGGACCAGCAGGACGCTCGACTGGACAGCTGGGACCAGCGTTTCACTCAGTGGGACACCCGTTGGGGTTCGGGTCCCAATCACCCTCACCAGCCACCATCACCTCCGGATGCACAGTGACTTGTCACTGTGCTTTGTATGTTCTCTTTTTCCCTTTCTCTTTTTATTTGTGTACAGCTTCTTTGTTTTTGTTTTTGCGTTGGTCTGTTCTGTGGTCTAAGTCTCCTTCACCGCGACTTGACAATGGGGACGTTGTCTGGTTTTCAGTGTGGGGGAGTTTTACGTGATTATGTGGTTGACCGGTCTAGGGTTTAGGATCTTTAATTGATTGGCTTAGTTGTGTTGAGGAACATATTTACCTTGTGAGGTTTGAGCCTTATCGTTTCTTGTATGATATTGGTTTGAATCTTGTTAATCAGAATTTGCCTTGAGACTGCTTTGAAATAATTGGATTAGGTTGATGTGACGTGAATATGATTGAGGCATTTCTTGTACTCTCTTTTCCTTTTTCTTTGTCGAGAATAATAATCACTAGTCATCCCCTTTGAGCCTTAATTGAATTTTCTTGTTAACCTCGTGATGAAGATATTGAGTTGCGGGTTGGGAGTTGGAGGTGACGGCTGATTGCTGTGTAAATATTCATATTTGAAAAAAAAAAAGAAAACAAAAGAGGGAAAACCGAATGGATTCTACTCCAAGAGCTCCGTCCACTAATGTAGTGGATATGAGCTATGAGTACGGGAAACCGGTCTAGGAGACTCGGGCAGAAAACCCGAAGGTTAAACCTAGATAATAATGTCCAATAGGTTTTCGCAAAAAAAAAAAGAAAAAAAAAAGAAAAAAAATGTGTGTTGTTTGGGAAGTACGTGTTCTTGGAGTTGTGGAAGAAACCGGTTAGTAACAACCGGATGAGTTATTGTCATGGTGAAGTGATGGATTAGATTGTACATATTGAGCCACTTAGCCTATATTTATCTTACCCTGTCCAAAGAGCCTATGTTACATCCCTACAAGTCCTCTTGATTCGCTGTCTCATTTATTTGATTGTTTTAGAGTAAAAGTTAGACGATAGGCAAATTTATGATTAACGTGACTGATGACCAATTTGAGTGCACCTATCTTATATTTTGCGAAAGAAACTGAGTGAGGCATATACATTTGCATACTCGAGAGTCTTTGTTCCTCAATATGGCCGAGTTAACTATTGAAGTGTGTTCTTGTGTTCGTTGGAATTCTCCTCAGTTTGATTAATTGGTTTGAGATTGGTCTTGCGTGAACTATATTGTCCTTACTCACTTATTTGTTTTCTTTTCTTTCTTTTTTTTTGTGTTGTTCGGGACGAACAAAGGTTTTAGTGTGGGGGAGTTGTTCGTTCCACTTTTGTCATGTTTTCCTTGTTTATTTCATGCTTGTTTTTCCCCTACTTAGGTATTTTTCTTTGGTTTTTGGTCCATTTCAAGTCGTCTCGCGCATATCCTTTGTTTTAGTCGTTTTTGGTCTTTTTGTTCGTTTTTTTCGGTTTTCCGTATGTCTTGTCGGTGGTGATGTGCAGGTTTGGTGGCTTGGTGCATGGCTATGCGAGGTCTACTGTCTAGATGGATGAGTTGGGGTCGTGTTGGAGAAGACGGGGTCAAGTTCCGAGTCCGGATGAGAGAAGACGAACCCAAAAACCAACGTTCAGAAATTGTTCGCCGCGGCCGCGGAGAAGAGGAAGTCGCGGCCGCGAGATACACAAAATCTCCAATTTCTGGCTCGGGGAAGTCGCGGCCGCGAGATGTTCTTCGCCGCGGCCGCGGAGGTCTATGTCGCGGCCGCGGAGGTCGCGACAGCAGAATTTTTTAAGTTGCGTTTTTTGATCAGTTTTTCATTCACTTTTCACCTAGGTTTAGACTCTCTCTCGTTTTTATTCACTCCAAAAACAGTTTTTCTCTTAGTTCTTCATAGGATTTGATCTTGGATTGTGAAAACACCAAGATTAAGCTTGTGGATTCGGTTATTCGTGTATTCAACATTGGATTCTTCAATCGTAAGCTTTCGTTTCGTTTTCTCATTGATTGAATGGCTTTGATTATTATATGTGTTGGAGTTGAATGCATAATGAGTAGCTAAATCCTTTAGCTAGGGTTAAGGGAAGATCGTTCCGGTTTGATTTCATTTATGTGCATGATAATTGCTCCATCCTCTCGAGTTGTGCTTGACTTAGGGTTTTGATGATTGATCACCATCTTAATCTATCTAATCGATTTTAAAACTGAAAAGGGAGAAATCGTTCGATCTAGGCTCGTTAGGAATAAGCTTGTTCGTAATAGTATTGCTTATGTGTTGATTGCTTCAAGAATTGCTTATTAATGTCTATCCTCTTGTTACGAAGAGTTATTGAGGATAGACCTCTAGATGAGTAGTTTAGCGAAGCATTCAACCGAGCTCTTGATTGCTCGTTACGTGTATTGAGAACCGGAATTGATCGACCCCGATACCCTAGCTCCGTCATTATACATTAAATTTGTGATTCCTAGTTTGTCTGCCCTGTTCAATTACTTGTTTTTTCAAATTAGTAGACGATAAACAAACCTCCAAATTTGATTTAGAATGTTTAGGATTTTCACTTCTTTTATTTTCCATTTTTGTGCTTGAATAATCATACAAAATAATCCGGCTAACCTTCCTTGAGACACGACCCGGTGTTCGAATCTTTTGATTTAACCCCGGTAAAAATAACTACAACAGTGTGAACTCAACATGATATAATATGATTTTAGGTGTAACAACTTTAGCAAGAAATTATTCATAACATAACTTCAAAAATTACCGATTTAGGTGACAATATCGATTTTTAGTTCACATAGTCAAACAACCTCCAAAAATTCTTAAATTTTAAACATAGGCTCAACACAATATCTAAGAATTTGGGCCAAAATATCACAGTATTTACTCGTACATAACATAGACTTCAAAAAATTGCCGATCTAAGTCTAAATCTTGATTTTTAATTCACCTAGTGAATGACTTCTAAAAATCCTTAAATTTTAACCGCAACCTAACTTAAATTTCATTAAATAGATTATTTAAGTCAAATCATCAGTTTTTAGTTACCCTGTCAAATGACCTTCAAAGATTCTCAATTTTTATACATAGGCTCAGCATAGTATTTAAAAATTTTCAGGTAAAGATCTCTGCAAGTACTTGCACATAACATAAACTTCATGAAATTGCCGATTTAAGTCTATATCTCGATTTTTAGTTCACCTAGTAAACAAACTCTAAAAATCCTAGAATTTTAACCTCAGCATCTACACATTATTTCATGATTTTAGGAGTTTCTATCCCTCATGCATTTTTAAATACGAAAATTGAGCAATAAATAGCATATTTTCTTTATTTCTTAAATCTTTCATATTTTTCTTGGTTTCTTAATTTTTATAACCTTTATTAATCATGTCTAAGCCAGAGGAGGGGGTTTAGGCTTGCCTACCTTCTATGGGACTCAAAAACAGAAAATGAAAAGCGACGGGAGCTCTCGGTGGCTTGGGCGTGTGCGTGCGGGTGACTCGGCTTCCTTGGCTGCGTGTTGCGGCTGGGGCCTCCTGAGACATGCAACTGGGAGCTAATGTGTGGGGGATATAGGCCTTCAGACGTGGGCTAAAGTCCTCGGTCGTGCGGGAGCTCTGTTCAAGGCGTGAGGGAGCTCGGTTCTCGCTAGAAAAATGCTCGGGGATGGAGTGGCCGAAAATTTCTAAGGGTTAGGCGGATTTTCTTATTTAGGACATTTTTGTGAGAGGTTCTTGCTTAAGGTAATGAGGAGAGGAAAATGAAGACTAAGGGTACCTAAAAGTAAGATTTGGTAGTTGAGGCATTTGACCAATTTAAATTTGAATCTTGAAATCAAAACAACAAACCCTAATGTATCTTGTCTCGGGCCACTTGGGCTATTGGGCCTATTGGGGAAAAATGGGTCATGTGATGCTTGCTACTTGGGCACACACACGAGCTTCTTGTGCCTCGCGACTTGGGTTGCAGTTTCTCGACTTTGGGCCGAGGTCTTGGCTCGCCTTGGCCTCGGCCCTTATGCAATATTTTTCTAATTTTTTCTTGGGCTCGTTTTCGGATAAAATAAATTTCAATTGACTCCTCCTTGGCTTAGACTTAGGATTTATTCTTGGTTAAATCAATTTTTGTTACTTAGAACTAAAGTTGAGCTCATATAGATAAAAGAATCGGGGCGTTACACGGATCAATTTCCTTTTGGTTATCCATTTGAAAGACCTATTGAGGTGAAGAAAGTCAAACTGAAAAGAAAGATAAATGATGAGTCATCATCGATCAGCAACACCATGCAGAAAGCACAAAATAAACTTCTTGAGGAGATAAAAAAGACAAACAAACAAATGAAACACCAAATGTAGATGCAAAACCATACCCACGCTTTTAAAGAAATGAGAGAAGAAAACAAAATTATGTTTCTAGGTGTCAGTTCCATAAAAGATCCTAGAGTTTGAGCATATATTGCAGGTGAAAAGACCCAAATTTTGGAAAAAATAGCCCAACAAGCCCAATCTGATTCATTTTCAACTGACACATTTGGGCAGCTTTTCAATAATTTGTGAGGAAATAGTGGTAATTTGTTAGATTACTAAATTTATGTTTTTTAGTTTTGTAATTTAGGACATATTTGTTTTTTCTTTTATGTATTTTTATTTTCAATAGTTCTATGTTATTCATAAACTAGTAATCGCTCGTGCGATGCACGGGAAAATTATTATCTTTACGCTTTTTAGAAGACACTTTTGTATATAAATTGTGTAATAATGCAAAGTTCATGATCATAAGAATAAACATATAAACATATAATTAAATTGAAAAGATCATATATTACTGAACATTTTCCTATATACAACATTATTGGTTTGATTATTTGGCATGTCATCTTCGCCACAAATTAAGATTTTCAAACATTTTCGGTTAGTGACATGTGAGACAGCAACATATATCTGGCCATGAATGAACACTGGTTTCTTAAGAAATAAGCAAACATGAGATAAGGATTGTTCCTGGCTCTTATTTATAGTTATGGCGCAAGAAACCATAATGATAAACTGCCGCTGCTGGAACTTGAAAGGAAT